TTTCCATGGAAACATCTCCGATCCATACCGAAATAATAACAGTTAGTTTGCAAACACGTTTTCCTACACGATTCCAGCAAAAGTTTCCACCGGAAATTATTAGTAACTGTTTTTCTTTATGTACCGATTTGCCCCAAAAATCGTCTGTTTTATTTGGAGAATTTGGAAACTATCCTCCTTCTAGTAGTTCTCACTTCGAAATGTAGGTGGCGAAAGCTTGGAAAAGTTTCACTGCAAGACGCCAATAAGTTAAGTTACTTCAAATTTACATGGATTAAACTTAATTTTGGGTAGAATATACTTAAGTCTATGCAATTTTTTTTTGCTGGTGTCAAATGTAAACTACTATATGCGATTTACTCATATTTGGGTTATTGGGATGAACCCGGGAATTGAGGGTAAAGTACTTAGTTATGGGTAGTTTTTCATCTCCGTGTAGGGTTAAAATTATTTATAAGTTTTTGTTGTTTCTTTATTAAGGCTGTGAACCATTTGCCGAGTTAAAATTAACTCGTGGTTAAAAGTGACATTTCGAAAGTTATTTTCTATGTTCGAAAATCCCCGTGCTGTCGATCGACCGGTTTTCGACCCACCGTGGTCGAAATTTAACTTCTTGTCTGTCAGAAATAACCATGCTCGGATAGCAGGGTTCATCGATAACTTTCCATCTGTCAAATTTTAACCAAAAGTTAAAATAATCCACCAAATGGTTCAGAGCCTAAGGAGACTTTCAGCCCAAGCATGGCGCGTCTCCGGGAACCCCAGAAGGGGGTTCATGATTTTATAGAAGGTATACTGTACCTTCACTTCCAACTCAAATTTGAGTACATGAAATTTGTCTAAATAAAGACATTTTTGTTTTCAATATTTCCTGGAAAATTTTATTAAAATAAATGATTCTGTGAGAGTGACTAAAATATGGTTAAGAAGTTATTGATATATGAGACCATTTTAAGCGTGTACACATTCGATGATAGTTGCTATATTAACAGCCAGAGGGCTACAAGGCAGCGAGCTATAAAAATATGTCAATGCTATAACACGGGTATAGAGTCTAACTCAAATTAAAATTCCGTTTACTCATATTCGCTAAACCACTGCACGGCGGATTAGACTAACTCCGATGAGTCACGTCACTGAGTAAAACCCGTTTTTAGATATGTATCTTTCGTCTGAGTAGATGGGAGTTAGTCTCATCGGCCGTGTAAACATCTAAATATTACTCTTATTCGAATATTGTTCAAATCCAAAAAGGGTCCCAACTATAGTCGCTATATTCATAGTCTGGCGGATAGAATCTCAGGAACCAATTGAGCTGTCAAATAGCGGAACCAATCGAGCAAATCACGACCAACAACAGAAAAGAGCACATCAGCTATTGCGAACAAAACTTCGGAAACCCTTTTCTCGTGCCTCAAGACTCGCCTACGCAAACTAACACCATCTTAGGGTTGGGGAAAGTTTCCCCTATCCGATGATGCCGGTAATTTGCGTTCGATTGGCAAGGAAAGCATAATCAACGTATTGTTTATAAAAGTTGATAGTAGGACTTTTTCAATTGATGGTCTAAAATATATTGAATTGGTTCCGCTTTTTGATAGATCGAAATTCTATTCGCCAGACTATGAATATAGCGAGTATAGTCCCAACCAGTGCTGAGATTTGTCATTGTCATTAACAGACTTAAGCACGATATTGACTAAATTGTTCGTCCCAAAGTCACTGACAGACTTGAAACCTTATTTTGCTTAACGACAATACCCCAATATCATCCAAACCATTTGTGGAAAAGCTCGACTATTTGGGTTATTGTTCGTTTATGGTATTTGTTTATTAGGGAAGGTGTAGGAGAATTTACGTATTCTTGGCAACCTAAGCAGCGACCTTCTTTCTATAGCCTTTTTCTCTATGGAACGCACACATATGCAGTATTGTTTTGTTTACAATCTTTTGCTGCCAGCTGCTCTAACAATTTCAGTCGAAAGAATTGTCAAAAACTATTTTGAAACGCTTTTACAAAGCTTCAATCTTCTCTAGTGAGAGCGAGTATTGTCGGCAACCAGTTTTTCTTCGGCCACTGTTCCATTTGAACTGCATGTAAATCTGCTGTTCTATTATCGGCAACTCGAAATCAGCTACAATTTGTAGTGGGTGTGTTTCATTTCAAGAAAACCCTGCTAGATTGCTTTTTCTCAGTGGTAAAAATATAGTCAAATTGAAGCTGAAAGCATAAAGAATCGTTTGCATGCATTTAGCGAACTGTTTTCGTAAGAAAATCCAGTGAAAATAGTGTTTTAATTTGGGTTGCCGAAAATAGTCTGTCATGCCGAAGCCGTCATTTCCCCTATAAAAGGGGATTAAAAAAATCCACGCAGCTATAGGATCAGTTTCATGAATCGACCACTTTTACGAATGTTCCGGATCTTTCGGTCGATCATTATGATCAGCTTCATTAATTTTCCACTTTTACGGATGTTCCAGATCTTCTAGTGGACCTCCGAGTTCATTCTGATAAGACGTCTATAAGTGGTTTCCAAAAATTCGCGGAGCTCTAGCATCAGTTTCATGAATTTACGGATGTTTCGGATCTTCCGGGGACCATCCTGTTGTGCCCAGATTCCAAATTCCGGTCATAGCTCCGAATTAATTGTAATACGACGTCTATGAGTGGTTTCGAAAAAAAAAACCCTTTGAGCTCTAGGATCAGTTTCATGAATTGACCGCTTTTACGGATGTTCCAGATCTATCGGTGAACCATCCCGTGGTCAAATCCGATAAGACGTCTATGAGTGGTTTTGAAAAAAAAAACCACGGAGCTACACGATCAGTTTCATGAATCGACAACTTTTGTGGATGTTACGGGTCTTCCGGAGGACCAGACTTCTGATTTTTCGGATGCAAAATTTTCCCAAAAAGGAGGTCATGTATCTTGTTAATAAGTTTTCAGAAGACATCAGGAAGTTATCTCTTCAAATTACCCTACAATAAGTGTTCGTCCCCAATTAGCTCTAATACCATATACTACGTGTATTCGTTAATGCTGATGTTCCTATTGTACGGTCCCTATTAACCGTACTATAGGAATCTTGACTGTAGTATGTTTGACTTCCCCCAGGATCCCAGAAACTAAACTGAAGTTCCGAGGTAGCCAAAGTGGTTCTGGACAGTTGTCATCGTTGTTAGTTGATTGAATATGAAATCCTGAATTTTGTTATGTGTCGCATGTATCTGTGAAATACTCGGTAAAATTCGAAAATCAGACATTTACTTCAGGGCTTCTAGCATCTATTCTAAAGTTTTGGAGTGACCGAAGTTGTTTCAGTAAAGTTGTCATGGTCGTTAGTTGAGGTTAGTTCGAGGCAGAATGGCGAAAAAAGAAATTGAATTTTTGAATAGACTTTCCCCGATTTGCATGAAATTTTGTGTAACTGTTTGTTATGGGAAATGATTCACATTTTATTTTTCTAAAATTTGGCCATTTTATCTGTATCTATCTATCTATCTATCTATCTATCTATCTATCTATCTATCTATCTATCCATCTATCTATCTATCTATCTATCTATCTATCTATCTATCTATCTATCTATCTATCTATCTATCTATCTATCTATCTATCTATCTATCTATCTATCTATCTATCTATCTATCTATCTATCTATCTATCTATCTATCTATCTATCTATCTATCTATCTATCTATCTATCTATCTATCTATCTATCTATCTATCTATCTATCTATCTATCTATCTATCTATCTATCTATCTATCTATCTATCTATCTATCTATCTATCTATCTATCTATCTATCTATCTATCTATCTATCTATCTATCTATCTATCTATCTATCTATCTATCTATCTATCTATCTATCTATCTATCTATCTATCTATCTATCTATCTATCTATCTATCTATCTATCTATCTATCTATCTATCTATCTATCTATCTATCTATCTATCTATCTATCTATCTATCTATCTATCTATCTATCTATCTATCTATCTATCTATCTATCTATCTATCTATCTATCTATCTATCTATCTATCTATCTATCTATCTATCTATCTATCTATCTATCTATCTATCTATCTATCTATCTATCTATCTATCTATCTATCTATCTATCTATCTATCTATCTATCTATCTATCTATCTATCTATCTATCTATCTATCTATCTATCTATCTATCTATCTATCTATCTATCTATCTATCTATCTATCTATCTATCTATCTATCTATCTATCTATCTATCTATCTATCTATCTATCTATCTATCTATCTATCTATCTATCTATCTATCTATCTATCTATCTATCTATCTATCTATCTATCTATCTATCTATCTATCTATCTATCAATCTATCTATCTATCTATCTATCTATCTATCTGTTTGTCTGTCTGTCTGACCCTTATAGACTCGGAAACTACTGAACCGAACGGCGTGGAAATTTGTATGCAGGGGTTTTTGGGGCATGGAAAGGTTCTTATGATGGTTCGAGGCCCCTCTCCCTCTGAAAAGGTAGGGCTCCCATACGAATGAAACAGAAATTTCTGCATAACTCAAGAACTAATCAAGCAAATGGAACCAAATTTGGCATGAGGAGGTCATAGGGGGTAGCCCCCCTATGAGTGGGGGGAGGGGGCTACGTACATTATAACATGTTTTTTTTAATTGGCGTATAAACTCAAGCTAATATTGAATCCCGAGCAAGGCCGGGCACACTCAGCTAGTATTTTTTTAAATTTAAAAAATGGCGTCCGAATTTCAGCAGCAATGTGAATCATTGCCCATAACAAACAATTATGCACAGAAGGTCGAGTTTTTCCGATTCGTCGTTTGGCGTCAAATATAGCATTGCGTTGGATTAGACAACTTTGTGTATTTTAAGACGAAAGACCCTTTAGTTTCGTCCTTCCTTCCTTCGTGATCCCACTTCGTTTGTAACTGCAATTGATCCATCAATACTAACAGCCCAACTGCCTTCCTTACAGATAATCAACCTCGTTGGATCGCCCACACAGCAGGACATCGAACTGGCAGCGCTTTACCGTGACTCGACGTCCAACTATGGCGAACGCAAAGTGCTCGGAATCCTGGCCAGCCGATGGGACGAACCCCATCACGGACTGCACAAGCGTGAAGCCAAGTCGGATGAGGTTTCCACCGGCAGCAGTACCAGCACGACTCCGGCGGGACCAACCGAGGAGCCGGAAATCGACGACGCCATCTACGACGTCCCCGGCAAGGCGCTGATCTACATCTCGTCCGCCCCGGTCCTGACGCTGAACAGCACCGAAGAGGAGTACGTCCTGAACAAGCACACCGTCGCCACGTACGATTCGCGCGAAAGCGAAAGCAAACTGATCGTCACGTTCAAGGTGGAGGATGCGACGAAGGTAATTATGTTTTTACTGTGTGTTTGATAAACGTTAAAAATAACTAATCACTCACGACGATGAAGGGAAGTGATTGTCGCCTGAAACAACAATTTATGCAAATTAAATTAAGTTACGATCGATGATGTCACGGTTGTTGAGCAGTCCGATCATCGGAAGAAAGGAGACACGGGGAATTTGTGTTTGCCCTCAGGGCGTCTGGTCGACCGCTTGAGTCGAGTGCGAGCTGCTGTGCTCAAAACGCGGATTGATGCGAGATTGGAAAGTGATTGGACAAGATGAAAACGAAACCACTCCCTTTGTCGAGTCGGAATATTTGTCTGTGCGGGGAGGTGTGGGGGGCATTTCAAGACAATAATAATGAAGCAGTTCATTTCTTCTTATTTCCCGCACAGCTAACGCTCAAGTTCCGCTTCGAGATGGATGCCGGCTACTGGATCATGCCCAAGGTGGACGTCTTCCTGATCGACACCAAGAGCAAGGACGCTGGCAAAATGACCGACGTCACCCTGGAGATCGATGGCGACGCACCGTACGCTCCGATGGGATTCTCCTACTCCTGCTCCAAGCAGCTGGTGTTCCGCAATGGGTCAACCATACTTACCCTGGAAAACATTCAGGTGCGTACTCTTCTCAATAGACGCGAGAGAAACAAATGCTCAATTGAATGGCGTTTCGCAAGTTTATCAATCATAGTCTTTAACAGCGAACCAACAAAAAGGCACAATGCAAAGCATTATTATTACTGTAGCAATCAACCCGAAAATTATCACTGTTGTTCACAACAAGTAGCACCCCTCATCTTAGAGTCGGTGGCTGCGGCGTCGGCGGTTTAATTCAAAAGTGCTACAATTACTGACCGCGTGGCCCCGTAGCTTCGAAGCGTGGCATTTGGTACTTTGAGAAAGATGGGGTATTCCGAGCGAAGAGAGCGAACGAATGGCGCAATGGTGTGAGATTGAAAACCGATATATGTAGCTACACCGGCTCGTCGTCATTTCACTTTCAAATCGTCTTCAAAATGGTTTGCAGTCCACACTTCACTTTACATGGCTTGGGCTTGGGAGAGAAGTTGGTCCAATGAGAGGGTCGAAGAAAGAGGTTTTAAATGGCCCTACTGTCTAGATGGTGGAGGCGACGTCGAGCGAGGGAATCTGTGGTAGAGGGTCAGCAGTGTTGGATTTAAAGAGGTGATTTGAATGCTGGAGTTGGGAAATTTGGGCGACAATTAATGCAGATTAGATAGAAACGGGTTTTAGACGATCGATAAAGCGCAGTAGGTCGATGATTGAGAAAGTCTTGATGTTTACGTTAAAAGTGCCGTCGATCAAACTTCTCTTCTTTCTAAACTATTACGGTCCTACTCAACTCTGCACATCTCAATCTGTGCCGCGTATTTGATCTGTGCCGAAAACTTTGCCCAGCGTTGTGCCGAATGTGCCGAAGTGTGCCAATGAAGCTGTCGGTCTCAGTATCCCATGAATTTGGCAACCCTGCAGTTATGACTTTGGAGATTATTTGTTTACCTTGTCAAGTTCTCACGGATGATTAAACGAGCTATTTGTGTGCATATTGCATAGTCTACACGAGAGGGTAATCACTGTGCTTGTCCTGTTTTTAAGTAAAACTAGTATCAAATAACATGCATATGAGCCTTTTTTTGAAGAACATTCATTGCTCCGATGCCAAACGAATGAGAAGATTGACAAGCGCTAGATCGTCGGCCACTGCTGGAACTGTTACCCCCCCCCCCCCCCCCCGCTAACTAAGCTATACAATTTTTGGTGAGCAAGTCAAACGACTGAAATTTTCCATGGCTTTGAACTTTTGAACTGGTGTAGCTGAGATTTAATGGTGTTGCTTTTCTTCGTATTTCTCGTGGCTCTCAACTACTCACTTTTAATCAATTCATCCACATCTTCCATCGATTTATATCCAACAAAATCCAAATGCTGGTCCAGGATTATGATACCGGTTGCCAAGGTTTGATCCGCTTTGTCTCTGCTTGCAATTCATTCATATTTTTCATCCTTGCTTGGTTTTGTCTATTTATAGCCCTGAAACTGCTGTCGGTTTCAATTGCGTTTATTTATACCGCGGTTCAGATTGGCTTCGTTACCTCCACTGTGGTAACCTTAACAATTCTGCAAGCAGAATCTAACTAACTCCACCAGCCCCCACAGTCAATCGAAACTCCGAGATCGTTCAATCCATAGAATGAGCTGTACGGCTGACTGATGGGTGGACCATCAATCGTACCGAGTGGTTCTCCGCGAGAAACTGCTGTGCTTGCAGTCGTATCTAAAAAATGGCAGGACGGTTCTGCACCGAGTTATTGTTGACACCATACATCAATGCAGCAAATGGAACTGGATTCTGCAATTCTCTTACAATACTATTGCATTCGGTCCGGATCCTATGGCAGGTCAATTGTTCGGTGCATGGGGACTCCAACTAATTTGTTTGGGTTTCCCCAAAACCATAAATCCTTTCGAAACTATGGACATCTGTCAAAAACCCTGCATACTTTCTTTATAGCTTCATCCCAAGGGCGCGGAGAATCTTTTCAGTTGTGCAATATTTTATTATGATTTGGGACAACCTCGCTGGAAAATCGACAAAAAATATTCAACTGAAAAAGAAAACTTCCCCTTGCTTTGAAATTAACAAAGAAGTAAACCTTAGCAACGCTTGGTAAAATGTCAACACAAAGCAGTGATGCTGTTTTATTTTATTCTAGCTGAGTGTGCCCGGCCTTGCTCGGGATTTAATATTAGCGTGAGTTTAAGCGCCAATTTGAAAAAGCATGCTATATTTTTGTTTCATTTGTATGGGAGTTCTCCATTACAGAGGGTGGAGGAATCTCGAACCATCATAAGAACCTTTCCCGGCCCCAAAAACCCCTGCATACAAATTTTCACGACGATCTGTCATACTTGTCATCGTGTGCCCTAACGTGCCGATCAGTGTTCTAATATGTGCTTCGGCACAGTGTGCATATTGATTACCCCTTGGTTCTACTAGAACTTGCGCCTATTCTTGACTGCAAGCACTGAAAATATTTTCTAAAATAATTATATGTAGATCAGCCCAGCGGCGCCGGTGTAGTGGTAAGTGTGATTGCCTCTCATCCCAAAGGGCATGCTAACACCACTGAAAATGACAGACTCCCCTGGGAATTCTTCGCTGTTGTTTTCTTAATGCAAAGAAGCACATCACATCACCTCACTGCAGGAGTAAGACGAACGGCCAACCAACGGTGGCAAAAATTCTAAGGTCAAATGCAATCTGTCGTGATTGGGCTGTTGCTGGTTAGAACCAGATTAGAAAATCATCTATGAAATTCATCTTGCGACTTTCTATGGTAATACCCACATAATTTTCTTCAAACACTCAAGAAATTATCTAAAGAAGACTTGCTCTACAATTCACCATGAATTTCTAATCATAGTAGCATAATTACCTTAAAATTCAGCTCAGTATTCCTTTTATTATTTTGGAATTTTCTTCAGGATTTTCTTAGTATTCCTACAAATCTTCAATGGAATTATTCCTTAAATTACTACTTAAATTGTAATCCACTCAGCAATTTCTCAAATATGCTTCAGAATTCACATGGAATTCCACTTTTAGCTTCCATGAAATCCTCATAGGAATTGCATTGGCATACTCCATGGAATTCGTTCTGGCCTCTCCTAACAATTTTATTAGAAATTTCCTCAGAATAAAGGGTGTCCCACATCAAATTGTATCACGGAAAAACGCTGTAGAAAATTACCTAGTTCACCGATCGTTTTCAAACTGTCAGACAATAAAATATAACCCATTAGTAAGCTTCTTCTGTACGGAAACCCACTTTTTCTTCATGTCTTCCTCAGATGTGACCTCCTTGGGATGCTTCCGTAGTGACTGCTTCATAATAGCCCAGTATTGTTCGATGGGCCTTAGTTCCGATGAGTTGGGGGGTTCATGTCCTTGGGTACGAAAGTTGGCTTCGTACCATTCCATGACAACATTTGAATAGTGGGACGAGGCTAGATCCGGCCAGAAGATCGTAGGGCCCTCGTGTTGCTTCAACAGAAGAAGCAGACGCTTCTGTAGACACTCCTTGAGGTAGATCTGCCCAATTACAGTCCCGGTAGTCACGAACGGTGCACTCCGTTTGCCACATGAGCAGATCGCTTGCCAAATCATGTATTTCTTGGAAAACTTTGAAAGTTTCTGCTTCCTTACTTCCTCCGGAAAATCAAACTTGTGCTGGGCGGTGACGAACAGTAGCCCCGGAAGCTGCCGGAAGTCCGCCTTGATGTAAGTCTCATCATCCAGGATGAGACAATGAGGCTTCGTCAGCATCTGGGTGCACAGTTTCCGGGCCCGTGACTTTTCCACCGTGTTTTGCCGTTCTTCACGATTTAGAGCCTTCTGCACTTTGTTCGTATGCAGTCCCTCCCGGTCCTTGGCTCTCTAAATGAAAGATTTGGACATATTCAACTTTTTGGCCACATCGCTGACATTCGATGCTCAGAGTTTCGTAGTAACGTTTAATCACACGAATCACCGTCAGTGCCCAAAATAGTCAGGTTCATTGAGTCATTTTGATATGAACATGAACTGCCTTCTGCCTCATCATTCACTGCCTCGTGAGAGTCTGAATGATTCAGAGGTAAACGAGTCACTGACAGCCGAGCACTCAGTCAGTAGCTCATTCAACACGTTTATTCTGCCGTGATGGTACCCAATATTTGTTTTGAATGACTGAGCGTGCATTTTCTATGGAAAAATGACTCAATTACATGCTGTGTGCACGAAGGCAAGCGGTGTGCGTCGCCTGCTAGAGAGTGACTGAATGTTTTTGTCGGCTCTTTCATTGCCTCGTCCTTTACCGTTTGGTACAAACGGTCTTCACAGAGCAATGAATTGAATAGTGCAGTGCTTTCACACTCTACCTAGGCAGTCCATAATTTTAAGCTCTGATCACCGTTAACTGCACGATTCCAAGTTGTTTTCCGATGTCCCGATGAGAAAGCTGAGGATTTTCCAGGTGCCCACGCAAAATCAATTCGCCAGGTTGCTTTTCGGGTGACACCATTTTTTTCAACTTTCGAAAAACTGACAGCGATAAAAATACGGTGTAAACAATACACTCTAAACGACAATGGGTAATTTTCTACCCCGTTTTTTTTCCGTGATGTAATTTGATGTGGGACACCCTTTACTTTTGGAATGCATCTTCTCCAGGCCAAATAAGATAAAAAAAATACAAATGTTGACTCGACCTTTTCCGATTGGCATTGAACTTTGCCTGTTTTGTGTGTTATGGGCAATCATTCAATTTTTTCGCAAAGTCGGTCATTTTTGATGTTTTATTTTTTCAAAATGGTGTCTTTGAAAATGTTTAATAAATTGTAGCATGAAAACTTGACTTCTGATCGAAGTGACGTCTGAGACAAAGTTGTTTGAAACAGTGAAGTCTTTCTAAGAAAAAATATACACTGTAACTTTGGTGTAATAATTTTTAGCAAAAAATCTAAATATGTGTTAATAACTAAAAAATTAAAAAAAAGTATAACTTAAAAAATATAATATTTTTTTAAAAATAAAGCTTATGAAAAATGAAAAC